CAGGTCCACATCTTCCTTGTGCCCAGGATCCTTGGACCTGGACACAGCACTCCAGGTGGGGACAAGAACCTCCTGGCTCCTGCCATAAGACGATGCCAATCCAGTGCAGCATTGCACGGATCTCTTTCCTAATCAGTAACCAGTGAGCACCTCCTGCAGTGTGACGCTATTTCTGACAAAATTCGTACAGTTCACTGCTCTCCCTACACAGTTTCAGTGCTCTTATCGCACACGCAGCTTCCCGCACCTTCACGCAGCTGGAAGCAGGTCAGCAAGGTCACGGCACTGTCCCCGAAACCAGGCAGCTTCTGCAAGCCACTGACATCACGGAGGTGTCACCTGGCAGAGACGCTCCAGCCACTGTTCCACACTTGTCGATGTAAAAACCAGGCTCAGTTTCCAGCTGGGCGCTCTGCCAAGGGGTCAGATGAGCCACGGACACAAAGTGCTTCCCCAACAGCCTGGCAGCCGGACATCTCCTTGGCATGGCTGTGAGGGTAGCGCAGCTTTCATAGGGCGCCTCGCAGCCCCCCAAAGGGCTGAGCGGCCTGGAGTATCTCAAACCATGTCTCCTTTGGGTAGATTGTGGCCCCTGAGCCTCATGGTTTTTTTGGGGATAGGGATGGCATCAGAGAGGATCAACTGCCCGAGCAGGTGTACCTGTCAGTACCTGGAAGTGAACTGCACCGGGCAGCAGTTCCAGGAGTTCCCTGCAGACATCCCTCTGGACACCAGGCAGCTGATTCTGGCGGCAAACAATGTCTCGTACCTGCCAGCAGTGGAATTGAGCTTCCTGGCTGATTTGGTGTACCTGGACTGCAGCAAGAACCTCTTGGGGGATGACCTGGATTTCACTTTCATTGGTATGGCCAAGCTTGTCTATCTGGACCTCAGTTTCAACAACCTCACCCAGGTCACTGTCAGCACCTTCTCACACCTCCTCAGCCTGGTGGTGCTGAAGATCTCGGACAATCCCAACCTTGTGGCCATTGAGAAGGATGCTTTCGCCAACAACACCTGGCTGAGGCACCTGGACGTGAGCCGGACAGGCTTAACATTCCTGGACACCAGCACCGTCCAGCACCTGCCCAACCTGAGGTTTCTGGGGCTCAGTGACAACCTGTGGCACTGCAACTGTTCCTTTTTGGACTTCATTACCTGGACGATAGAGAGCAACATTCATTTTCCAGGTGAGGGCTGTGTGAGCAGAACCTCTCTCCTCCCTACTTCCACAGATCTCTGTGGAACTGAGAGGGCTCTCTATTCTCTGCCCAAAGTTCAGTTTACGGGGCTGTGCCACTGCATGTCATCTGAGGGTTCCGTCTTCTGCTGTTACACAAACCAGGGGTGGGAGCAGTTGGGTTACGCACCATCCAAAGTTGGGTTTCGTGCCCTCCACACATGGAGAGTCATACTTGCTCACAACCTCAGGGCAGTCAGGGAGGTGTAGGCTGTAGGTGGGATATTGCTGCTGCTCTAAAACACCTGGATCCAGACTCAGGTGTCCCTGTGCCCGTGAGTCATCCCACCCCATGGCTGCAGTGCCAAGAATGAGGATCCTAACAGAGCTCTGGGGAGATGTGCACGGGGAAAACTGCTGCTCTGAATTTCCTGCCTTATCTCCATCCCAAAATCAGCTGTTTCCCATCATATTGAGTGATTCTACAACTGGGCCACGGACAGGCTGAGGCGGGGTGATCACCAGCTGCCTTTCTCAGAAAAATGCTGGTCCCAAGGGTGAAGCTTTTTCTGCAGCTGCAGCACATGAACTTGGTATTTCTAAACAGAAAAGAAACAGCACAGCATGAAGAAAAGAGGAAAGCTTCGTTTTCAGGAATGCAGGACATGATGGTGAGAGAGAGTTGCAAGAGAGAAATTGTTTGAGAAAGTCTGTCCATTGAAAAAGAAAGGGCCACAGAAGAATCCAAGGGGAGAAAAGGAAAGGGCATATAAAAGCTGGTGTTACAAAAGAATCAAATTAAAGATATCTCTGTGTCTTTATTAGATGAAGTAAGCTCCCTATAGGCAGTAAAGTGGGGTTTTTTTCCACATACAGGTTACAGGCGGTTATGGAACAGTGTAATAAAGTACAGTTCTTTGCAGTGAGATTAGAGATAACCCACTGAACCCTGCAACAGGAGATTAAAGGTCATTGAAGGCAACTTGGGAGGGTAGGAGCAGGAAAGGCAGTGACAGTAAAGACTGGAAGGTATGAGTATGGATCCTTACCCTGTACTCTTGAAGACGGGAAGGCCAAAGAAACCAAGGAAGCCACAGAGGCTGTTTCACTTCCCTGCTCTGTTGGGCTTTGCTTTGTCCTGGTGAGATGCTGTGGGAGAGTCCACAGGAGGTTGTGTGTCTCCAGGAGGGCTGCTGGAAAGCATGCACAGGATGGACACCCTGTATCACAAACATATGGGCAGGGAAAGGCAGCCCTAAACCGAGGGTTGTTCCAGGGGCTGATAGCTCCACTGCAAAGGGACATGGGAACAGCGCCCTGGAATCTGCTGCAAGAAGATCTCCACCCTGACCTTCAGAAAGCTACTGATGCTTCACGAATGCCTGTGCACCCATGTTTTGGGCTCAGTTGGATCTGTGCAGCCTAGGGGCTGACACAAAGCTGCCCAAGTTTGGATGGATTTGGGTAACAGAGGGACAAAAGCTCTCAAGTTTTACCCAGGACCATTACAAAGATCAGTGTGAACAGCAGTGATGTCACTCAGCCATATACAATACAATGTCATGTGATAAAAGTCTCCCGTGGCTCATTCCTGTCCACTGCTCCCTTTCCCTTAGGCCCTTCCACCCTGTGCCCCACGAAGTGCCCAGCACAGTGTCTGGGAGGTTCCAAACCTGCAAAGGAGGGAGAGGGCCATGGCTGAGGGCACACCCAGCTTCCATAAGGCACCCCACTCACCCTTCACTAACTTGAGAGGGAACAGCCGGCATCTCTTTTCTCACTGCAGGTATTCAATATGACAGGGTACAGGTGTTGTTTCAGTGGAACTGAATCCCTGATGAATTGCCTCTGCCTCTCTCACAGAGCAAGGTAAGGCTGTGCCTGACTGCAAACCACTCTAGCTGTCAAATGAGCAGCAGCCTCATTATTCCAGCATAATTTAGGCTGTAGCACTTCAAAATGTGTTTGAGAATGAGAAAACCAACACACACAAGTGCTCTCACATGAAGATGAAAGTGCTCAATTCGCAGAGATGAGCGGTGCAGGGACAGCAGTTTACTGCAGCGGCATAATCCAGTGGGCAATATTTTCCTGTGGAGGCAACACCACAGAAATCATTCTGGCAACCCAGGAATTGTGGTTTGGCAGGGGTTTGGCTGTTCAGATTTCACCCAAGCCACGGAAACAGAGGGGTATGAAGCGTGTAGACATTTTTCAGGCATTGAGCAAACTCCTCCACCATTTCTCTAGCAGGACTTCTGTTCAGTAAAGCTTTAGACACAGGCTGGAGAGTCTTATTCTGCTTCTCCCTCTGCAGATGCTGACAACATCACCTGCTACACCCCCGAAGGCCTGCGAGCCCTGAGGATGCCGGCAGCGGAGGCACAGCTTCACGTCAGCTGCCTGACCCAGCTATACAAGAGAGACTACGTCTTTCTGTGCCTCGTTGGCTTCTGCATATTCCTTGCTGGCACCATTACAGCCTGGCTGGCCGGCATCTGTGCTGTTATCTACAACGTCCATGCTTCAAAGGGAGAGGAAGAGGAGGAGGAAGACACAGCCATTTAGGACCAGCCCTTCTGAACTCCCATTGTGGGAACCAAAGGCAGGCCCTTCCTGCCTGATTTTCCCACATGATGTCCCACTCTAGATGCTTTTTTTTTTTTTTTTTGGAAGTGAAATAAAACTGCAAGAGCAGGAAGTCTCTGAGCTCTATTTTCACTTGCTGTGCTACTACCTCCATTTTTCTCCTGCCACTGGGACTGAGGACACTGGAAAAATGTTAATTTTGGAGGGGATAGTGAGAGGTGTGCACAGTGCCAGGCATTTCTACTCCTACTTTACTTCGAGACCACAGAAGAGTAGGGGTACAGGAACTGGCTTGACTGCAATATGGGAAAGGCCCTGGCACTGTGCTATAGTTAGGGATGTCACCAGGCTCTTCCTAGACAAAAAGACCAGCAGAGCTTACTGGGACCAGCCTAGAGAGCTTATTGGAGTCACAGGGACTCCAAGAACTTTCTGCTGTGGAAAGGCAAAGAAGTTAAAAACAGGACTTTTAGGAGTCCGAGATCCCACTGGTTCCTACTTTCTTCCCCATTACACCAGTGACAGCAGAAGAACCCTCTATCCCTCTGCAGCCAGACCACCTGTACCTCCTCCACTGAGTTATGTGCATTTGCAGAACTGAAAAGGCCAGCTCTGGTTTGGTGTCACATAACCCTAAAATTGGATATTTTTTTTTTTTTTAAGTAAAAAATATTGCTTACACACTCTCCAAGTATTCTTGGAGATGGCTTCTGTGTCCATGCCAAAGTGCCAAGATTGCATCTACAGACCAGAATAAAGCAAGATGTAGAAAAGCTCTCTCTTATCACTGGCCCTGGGAACTGCCAGGGGAAGTACCTGCCTAAACGACCAAGCACGGCACCTCCACGAGTGAAACACTATCTGCTCCATCCGACACTAGCAGAGTCTGACGAAACAAAAGGGAAAAGCAGAAGATTTCAGCAAGCACCGTACGAATTACCAAACTAGGAGCCATTAAACTGCAGACTCTCAGAACGAGAGCCGAGATCTGTCTCAGCTATAATGGGTACGGCAGAAAGGGCGAGGAGCGGGATAACGATGTCTGGCGTGTGCTGGGGACACACGCAGAGCCGCTGGGGCACACCGGCGCGGCAAATCTCTCTGCAGAGCCACACGGAAGGATCCCTGTCCCGCTCTTCTCTCGCAGTGAGACTGATCGTGCCTGGCAGAGCCCCGGGCCCCGCCTGCGGGCGGTGCTGCGGGCGGCCCGGCCCCGCTACCGCTCCAGCTCCGTCCCCGGTTCCATCCCCTGCTCGGTCCCCTGCTCCGTCTCGCAGCGCGCCCAGGGTGAGTGCGAGGCTGAGCACCTCGGTAGCGGGGTCGGGGGGGACGAGGGGGATGCTCCCAGGGCTTGGTTATGCAGGTTGTCCCGATGGACGGTGGGGAAAACGGAAGGAACGCCGGGGACATCCTCCCACGCGAGAGAGGCTCCGGGGGAAGGTGGCTGTGGGACGAGCAGGGCACGGGGCTATGCCTGCCCCCCAGCACGGGCGGCTTAGGCTGAGCCTGGCCCCGCCTGGCTTGGGAGGGCTCAGCCCTGGGAGCGAACGGGGGGGACGGGACGACAAAGGGTTCTCCTGGCTCGAGAGGAAGCCTGGAAAGTCTGAGATTAAATCGGGAAATCCTGTCAGAATCCGCGCGTGGGTCTGCTCGAGGAGCCTTAAGGCGCTTTGCTGACTCACAGTAGCTGCAGTGTTATAGCAAATTTGGGAAGAACCCTTATTCTGCAGTAAAGGTACCTCCGGTAGTACTTCTGCTCCCACTCTGTGCTCTGTCGTGCTCCAGAATCTCTTGTTCGCGTGGCTCCAGCCTGAAACATCCCTGGATGGAAAGTAGAAATTGAGTCTCGTGCCCGTGACGGTGCATGGCAGCAAAGCCCTTGCAGCTGTGGACAAAGGTTACTGAAACACTCGGGGCACCAGAATCCGGAAACGATCGTGGGGGAGAGACAGAAAGTCCTGGGTGACTTTGGAGTGCTTTATACGGCTCCAAATTAATAGAGCAAAGGCTTGAGGTGCACTTTTATACCAATAGTGTAAGAGTAGCATAATTGTATAACTCAACTGGCTTAATGCTTTGCTGAGCTCTGCTCCCAAAATAAACCCCCAGATTATAATCTAATGCTGGAAGATAAAATGCCTGGTTCTCCAACAACCTTGTAATTTGAATGGGGAAATGTGACCATCAACCTGCCCTACTAGGTGGGAACATGTTCTGTTTTCAGTATGTCATCTATCAAGTGCTAACCTCAATTACAGGTGCATGCCATTGACTCTTCTTTATTACTTTGGGCTTTTAATGTTTTTACTGATAATATTTTACCAAACATCATGTGGGCAAAGCCAGTTGTTTTCTTCACCTTGCTCCAGCAATAATAATCTCTATGCAAATGAGAAATAAAGCCCTCTGGTCCCCGAAGATTCCCTGTGAGAGGTGCAGACATTGCTGCAATAGGAAGGCTGTTTGCACTGGTTCTCTGAGGTGGCCTATTTTTCCCCACACTGACAGATTGAGCTGGGGGCAGAGAGCAGGAGACACCAAAACCTCACTATATCCTGGAGTCACCATCTGGAGACAGGCGCCAACTGGTGCTTGGTTTGCAGAGGGAATTATCTTGGTGCCAGTGGGAAGTGTCACCCAGAAAACCTCTGAGGTTTGGGATTGTGCAAGAGAGCTGTGGGGAAGGACCCTTGTCCTCTCTTGTGCTGGGAGGGAGCTGGAGTGCTCTGTGTTGAGCAGGGCAGGCTGATGGTGGGACGGGCAGAGGGAAATAGGGAGAACATGCAATGCTGGCCAGCATGGCAGAGGCTGCAAGACGCTCCCCTTGCTCTGTGGTTCTGTCTCAGGCTGCCTGAGGAAGCACAGAACTGTTAAACAAAAGCCACAAAGGCCCTGGTATCTCCTGCTGCAGAGTTGCTTGTGCAGATGTTGGTAACTGTCGGCAGCTGTGTGTTGTTGGGGCTGGTCACCGATTCCTGACTGAGAGGGCTGCTGGGAGCTGCGGGGCTGAGCACTGCTCGTCCAGCCAGTGCCTCTGTACTCAAAAGGTTCGGTTACTATTGCCATGGGGGTGGGGTTTATTAGTCTTCACCTTAGTGGAACAAAATAACCATCATGTAGCCCAGCTCCTTTCAGCTCAGGGGGTTTCTGAGCCAGTTTGTATTTCTCTGTATCCTTCTTGCCAATTTACCTCTTCTTCCCAGAGCTTGCCCACTTTCCTATTGCGTTTATGAGGACTGCCTGCATTCACATGGTCCCTTAGGAAGGAGTTCCACAGGTCAGGTTCCCACTGCATGAGAAAACACCTGTCTTGGTTTGTTTCCAGTGTGTTCCCTGATTTCATTTGGTGGTCCCTAGCTCTGGGGTTGGAAGGGACCATGAGCAATCAGTTTTTTCTCCCTGTCTCCAGAGTATCCCTGCAAGCATAGAGCAGCGTGAGCTGATGGGACACGCTGCTGGCTGTTGTCCTGCTCAGAGCCACAGTCTGGACTGGTGTGCTCCGGACATCACCTTCCATCAGTGCTTCGGTGATTTTAAGGCTTGCCTGACAGGAAGTGTGCAGAAAGCTCTTGCTTTGTGCTGCTTAATGCCCAGCTGGCTCCAAGAGCTGAAAATTCTCCCCCACTCACCATTTCTCTCTTCCTTCAGCCAGTCCCCATGCTGGGAGGTCTTGGATGCGTGCTCAACAATTCCTCCATGCAGGCATATCCGTGCGCCGCACGCTGCCGTGTCTCCAGTCGCATCCCAAAATATTAACCTGCTCCCTCTCTCTGACAGCACCAGGATGGCTGTTCTCTCCAAGGAGTATGGCTACGTCATGCTGACTGGGGCTGCCAGCTTTGTCCTGGTCATGCACCTCGCTGTGAAGGTGGGCAAGGCCCGCAAGAAGTACAAAGTGGAGGTGAGAGCTCAGGCTGAGGGGATGGTGAGGTCAGAGCCTGTCTCCTGCTGGTGCTGCAGACAGGCTAGGGGACACCTTGCTTATTTTGGAGTGACTTGCTGACACTTCCTGCCCCACCACACAGATGCAGAAGGGATGGAGCTGTCATGGCTCTCCAGACAGCACTCAGACAGAGCTCAGGATTTGGGACATCAGGCACTTGGCACCAAGCTGAGACAGCTTGGCAACACCAGTGGGCAAGAAACCACATGGCTGCAAATATGGCATTGGGGGGTAAAGGAGTCGTGGTGGAACAAAAGTGACAGGACGGTTTCTCAAACTCAGGGTGAGCCCATGAGTCCTGTCACAGGAAGTGTTACAAGGTGACCTTCCCTCAGCATCCACTGAGGAGCCTCTAAGCCAGGCAGGGCTGTAGGTTGGGTGGGGTCAGCCAGTGCTGCTGTGAGTCAGGGCAATGGCATGCAGAGGCTGCTGTGCCACTTGGCTGGAGCACAAACCCTCGAGCTCCTTTGCTCTTTCACCACGGAAACGGCGAGCAGGGGTGGGCACAAGGACAGCCTGTTGGGGTGATCCAACTCCTCCTACATTAAGTCAGGATTGTAGCAAATGTACCCAGTGCACAGAGGGCTGGATTTGAGGCCTGAGGAAGCCTCTGCAGCCAGGCAGCAGCTCCAGTGGTGAAGAAGGTAGTGACAATCAACACAGCTTTTGTGGGCCATGGGGCAGCCTCTAACCTGCCACTGCAAGTCAGTCTTGCAAGCATCCAGGCTGCCCTGGGGAGAGGTGCTGCAGCACCCTCTGTGCTGGAGAACAGCCTCCCAAGCCCAGACTGTGCCTGCTCATGTTTTCCTGCTGGTTTATTTTTCTGGCAGTATCCAACCATGTACAGCGCAGACCCTGATAATGGGCATATCTTCAACTGCATCCAGCGCGCACACCAGAACACGTGAGTAACATGTATGAACAGAGGTGCTGCTGCCACGTGCTCCAGGCTCAGCACTTGAAGACAACACACAGCCCTGTAATGCTTAGCAAAAAGGCTGTGCTGGCTCGTTCCCATGCTTTAAACTGTGAGATGGGGCTGTGAAGCAGCCTCCTCTTCCCCAGGTCCCAGCAACTTGCTTCCATGGGTGGATCTTAAGACACAAGGAATCTTGTTTCCTGAAGAGCCTGCCTGGGTCTCCCGGGGAAGAGGCCAAAGTCAACCCCACTCCTGTGGACAGGCTGCAACAGCACATCAGAGGGGTGCTGGAGACACAATTCCTGGCTGATGTTTAGCTGTGGCTTGGGGCACAAAATGGAAAGAGTGGGTGGGTGGCCTAGGAGAGATGCACACGCTTGGGAAAGTCCCTGAGAGCCTGTGCATGCTCAGATCGCTTCTCAGTCAGAGCATTGAGCACAGAGACTCATAATAGGCCCAAAGAGCCCTTGGGAGGGGATGTTTGCAGCTTCTGCCCTTCGGGAGTTTCCTCTTTGTAAGCAACTTGAGCACAAACACCACCTCTTCACTTTTACTTTCAGATTGGAAGCTTATCCCGCCTTCCTGTTCTTTTTAGCCACTGGTGGAATCTACCACCCGGTAAGTGACACTATGGTCAGGTCTGTGTGTCAAAACTCGGCTCTTGCTGCCTGACTTGGGCAGGAGGCCAAGTTAGCCCCTTTACTGGCCACAGCACAGCAGTGCCCCTTCTAAAAATGTACTTGTGCAGGGGAATCAGAGGTATTTAATAAACTCATTACTGCCATTTCAGCTACTAGGCCCCTTTCCTTCTCCTGACGGTGCCTTGCTGGACAAAAGGGAAGCATTCACAGCCTCCAGTCCACAAGTGGGAAGGGTCCCTCCATCCTTCCCTGCCTGGTTCTTCCAAGCCCTGCCCAAGGAGGTCAAAAAAGCCTGGATTATTTTTAACTGAAAGATATAGACAACTCAGGAGGAAGCAGATGTTTGGGAGAGGCCAACACCTTTGTCTTTGCCCCCAAAAGACAAACCAGGTCTCTCCTGAATACTCCTTTTTGGAGAGGGAAGGAAGCAGCATAGGCACATGTGGGAAATGGGAGCCAGCTATAGATTAAGAGGCAAGGTGGAAGTTTGGAACACCTCCTGACCTGGGGCAGCAGCTGCCTCTGAGATCCTGGCCCTTGGTCTGGGCTCACCACCTGGACAGTGGTGAAATGAGATTTGGCACGTGCTGCCTGCATGACTTTGCTCAAGTCTCCAGAACTTTAAAGCTTTTCCTTTCTCTCCAGCGGGTTGCCACAGGGCTTGGTATCACCTGGATCATCGGGAGAATCCTTTATGCCTATGGCTACTACACAGGAGGTAGGTCTTTACCCTGCAGCACACAGCGGGGGTGTGGAATCTTGAGTCTCCTACAGTGACCTTGGGGCTCTTTGCTCCAGCTTACAGAAGGGAGGCAGCATAAAGCTTCCGGTGGGGTGTGGAGGAAAGGGTGCAGGTCCACAGGCTGCTAACACCGCAGCACGTTCTTCCTGCTGATAGGAAGAACACCCATCCAATAGGGATAGCTACGCTAAGGAGGGCAGGTACAGGGCCTGGGATTTATCTTTAGTTCCTGCCCCCCCTTCGGTTTCCAGGATGGGTTAGTCTCTCTCTCAGTTGAGAGAACTGCTGAACTGACAAAACCTGCCTTTTTTACAGATCCCAAAAACCGAAGAAGAGGGGCCATTGGCTCAGTGGCACTCCTTGGGCTACTGGGCACAGGAGTGTATTCAGCCTGCCAGCACCTGGGCTGGGTCTGTCAAGGGGAAGGCTGCCCAAGAAGCTAAAGGGAGTTTTATTCTGTTTTCTTCTAGAACACTTAATTTCCTGTAAATTTTTTCTTGTCTCATTCAATAAAATGAAGTTTCAATTCTGTATTTTCACTCTAAAGTTATAGAGCGTTTTCTTTAAGCTCTGCAGAATTCTAAAGTGACTCTGGTTTTGCAGGACTACAGATATCTGCCCATCAGGCAAAGATGTTCTTTCTAGATTATATGATTTTAGTGACTGAAAAGCCACCTTGAAACTTGTTTAACCCATACAGCAGCAGGCCCATTTCTGGACCCCTCAATCCACGTCACTCTGTGCTAAGATGTTCCAGAGTTAGTATTTATTTGATTGTTAAAAGAAGACATAGACAAACATTTAGAGTAGTTGCTTCATCACGTGTATAAAGAACAGTAAGTTTACAAGAAGGAAGTAAAATAGCTTTCATTTTCCTATGCTGGAGCTTGCTACCACTCTTGTGTGGAGGGGATTCTCAGAGACATGCCTGTCCCAGGCAGCATCAGCCAACCCTTCCCACAGTATTTTGTCCCACTTGTAAGGTACAGATAAAAACAAAACTTGTGGTTACACGAGGGAGCTAGAGGGAATAAACAGTCCTACCCTAAGGCTTTCATGTAGTCAGACAATAGACAGAGCTACAGGATATCAATGTGTCCAAGAGCTTAGACGTGCACTGAGTGTTATCTACCTGTTAAGAAGCCAAAACTGAAGTTGACTGAGGGTAGAAGGCAATGGAAATCAAGGCACACAGCACAGGAAGCAGCCTGGATCAGGCCTTGGCCACTGATAAGCTTCTGGTAGCTTACACAGCTGCAAGAGCTGCTGCCAAAGGCCATATTGGTGCCTTCTGCCCCAAGGTTCCCATTGTTCACCAGGCAGGACAGAGCAGGCCCCCAGGCCGAGCCCTGTGTGTACATTCGCCCTTTTAGGAGCAGGGTGGCTAAATGCTGCTCCAGCACTGTTCCCCCCTGGCACTGACAGTTTTAGAGTACTTTTTTGCTAGATACATGATCTATAACTCTGGCTGAGAGGCAGGGGCTGGCTGATGCTCCCCTGAGCAGGACCAAGAGCCCCTAAAACACCGATTCCACATCACCCATCTCCACACAGACGGTCTTCAGCTGCGAGTAGTACTCGATGGCTGCCCGTCCATTCTCCCTCCCAAATCCTGCAGGGAAGAGCCAGAAGTGAGAACACGGCTCCTGGCAGTGCCAGGTGCCACTCACAGCCCCCGTAACTGGCATGTACCAGGGAAGGTCAGACAGAGCTCACCTGATGACTTGTATCCTCCAAAAGGCAGCTCCACGGGGCTGGAATTGTAGTTGTTGATGAAGCACATCCCAGCCTTGAGAGCAGCCACTACCCTGTGAGCCTTCTGGATATCCCTGCAGGAAAAGGGCAACTCAGTTGGATCCCCTTCCCTCACAGACAACATTCCATTAGAGAAAGACCAGCAGGTCACAGTGGGGTTTGGAGCTCGACCTTCCCTACTCCCATCTTTCCCTGCTCCAAGGATGCAGCACCTATTCCCAAGGATACCAAAATTTAGTTTGATTTGCAAGGGCAGGACAAGGACACAAGCAATGCAGATTAGGGCAAGTGGCCAAGAGCAGCATAGCAGGCTCCTGGTGCATCCTGGAGATGCAAGAAGGCTGGCAGCAGGCCAACACAGGCTGGGAGGAGTCCAAAGGACAGCTGGGCCCACCCAGTACTTCAGGAAAAACTAAGAGATACATCATTTACAGATTTCCCTTTTGGCAATCTGTTGCTCCAGCTTTTCTGGAAGAAGATGCCCGTACCAAGGCACTGCAAGAGCAGCATCAAGTTGCTGCAGCATTTTCCGTCTCCTCCCCTCCCACAAACCCTTCCTGCAATGCTACGCAGTCATACCTGGTGAAGACACCACCTGCCAGGCCATATTTGGTGGCATTGGCTCTCTCCAGAACCTCCTCCTCCGTGTCAAACGGCAGGATGGACATGACAGGCCCAAAGATCTCTTCCTTCACACATGTCATGTCATCTTTGCAGTTCCCTGGAAGCATGGCAGAGGACACGTGCCTCAGGAGGGAGAGCTACCAGCACAGGCTGTGCACTCAGCAACCCACACAGCCTTTGAGACAGCGCTCAGCACTGCACAGCCTCCCTGCAGAGGAGCCAGTCCCACCCTGCATTTCAAAAGCCACTAACTGCACAATTCCCATCAGACCCTCTGACAGCAGAAGGATGCAGTTCTTGGGAGCCCCTCTGGGTGTTTGGTACACCCATCCTGTCCACACTGGGGACATACACAGAGCCAGGTTATGCTGAACGCAGCTTTAGAAGAAACTCAGCCTCATCCACACACAAGACCACAGTACCATGAGCAGGAGGGATCATACCTAGCACACAGGGTCGCATGTAGTAGCCATTCTTCAGCTTTGGGTCATCTGGCACGTACAGGTCCCCACCACACAGCACCTCAGCCCCCTGAGAAAGAGAACAGAGGAAGGTAGGCAGGCATGCTCAGGAGCACCCTGCCCAGCTCTGCCTGGCCCTTGTCCTATCACAACGGGCCCTGCTAAAAAGTTTGTCTCCATCTTTCTCATAAGCCCTTTTAATGAACTGAAACACCGCAATCAGGTGTCCCCAGAGCCCTCTCTCCTCCAAGCCAAACAAACCCAGCTTTCAGCCTTTCCTCATAGGTAAGGCGCTCCAGCCTTCTGATAATTTTTGTGGCCCTCCTCCGGACTTGACAACCCTGACTTTTCAAGTATCACGGGGAGTGGCTTGGCAACTACATTAGCCAATTCCCTCAGGACTCTGGGATGCATCCTCAGGTCCCACAGACTTGTGTATGTAGTGGCCCAAAACACTCATCAACAAAAAAAACCAGCTTAACTAGGAAAGCACAGGGCTGGAAAGCAGTTGCTAATCTGTTTGTCTAACCAGAGAGAGATTTCAGGGCAGTCACAAGGCAGCATCACAACCCCACCTGCTCCTTGGCCTGCTTGATAAAGCCCTGGACACGATTAAGGTGGGGCCGGTTGATGAGGGGTCCCATTCGTGTGTCTTCCAGAAGTGGGTCTCCAATTTTGATTTTCTGGGTGCGTTTCACCACCTCCTTTGTGAAGGTATCCAGGATCTTCCTCTCCACAAACACCCGTGTGCCGTTGCAGCACACCTGGGATACAGGACAGTCTGCTCAGAATAGGAAACAGAACTCCACGCTCCTTCCCTGCTCAGATCCTGCTACACATACAGAAAAACCCGTCCACAGCTGCTACAAGAGTTAACTTGTCCCTGGGAACAAGGAACACAACATGACCCCGCAGCCCACAGCTGCACTGAACAGTCCATGTTGGACACAGTGGTTCTGATGCCACCAGGTGGCAAAAACGCATCAGGTCACCAGCAGAAGAGACCTTGAGCTGACTTCTCAGTTCCCAAAAATGACCTCGTTGAGCAAATTTGCCAAAGGATTACACAAAACCTGCAGCATGTGTGGATATCACAAATTTAGGAAGGACAAAGCCTCATAGTGCTGTAGCTCAGCACACCCGACTGGAACCTGCTGCCCCTCCACAGGGCATCAGCAGTGCCAGAGCGGAGCCCAGGACACAGGAACAGCTGTGATGAGCTGGATACTGGGTGTCAGGGCATCCCTTCTAATCTCTTCTGGGAAATGCATGTCAGGATGGGAGCTCTAGGGCGTCCCTCACCAGAAAAACCATGAGCTGGCTCCACTGCCCAGTTCTGAAACCACCCTGCCTCTCTGGGAAGAGCCACTCCTGTGCCACGGATACACACCTGGCCCTGCGTAAGGAAGTTGGCCATGAGGGCTCCATTCACAGCATTCTCCAGGGAACAGTCTGAAAAAATGATAAGGGGGGATTTGCCCCCCAGCTCCAGGGTGACTGGCTTGATCCCCTTAGCTGCCATCTCCATGATCTGAGGGAAACAAGGACAGAAAAAACAAGTGACCCACTGGCCAAGGGGAGGCTGGTGGAGAGAGGCAAGAGAGACCCAAAAGGATGAAAGGGCCCTGCATGACCTCCCCAACAAGAGAAGCAGCACAAAGGGTAAACTGGGTTTCCTAGATGTGCTTAGTTCAGACTCAGGACAGCCTCAGAGAGTCTGGGGTTTGTCCTTTTATAAAGATAAAACCAACAGGACCTGGGGAGGCATCTGAAGGAATTCCTGTGTTCAGCAAAAGGTGCCAGCAGCTGCACCTGAGTCACTGCAACCCACAGGTGCACACACATAGGGAGCATTCAAAGGACATTTCCCCTCTTTCAAAATCAGAATTTTTTTCTCCAAGTCCTTCTAGGGACTTTTAATTTTGGAATAATAAATTGAAGGTGACAAATTCACAGATATTAACCTCTTGCTTAAAAACAGTAGGTTGCATGCAGCCGAACCAAAGTATTACTGCCAGAAACATTCACCCATTTTTGCAGTGCTGCTGGTTTACACACCCTCCTCCCCACATTGACATCCACTTAGGCAGCTCAGAGACTTCACTGCAACCATGGGTAAACAAGTGAAGGTGACCAAGGGGTTCCTCTGAAAGGACCAAATGCCCAAGCCTGGCAGGCTGACTGGATCCCCAGCATGATCCTGTACATGCCACCTCCTTGCTCAGTCCCAAAAATGCCAACTTGCACCCCTTTTTTACAAGCCCAATGCAGAAAACCTCGAGGAAGTATCGACAACAATGTGTCTTCAAGTGCAAAGGCACCCTTACCTTCATGCCAGTTGGCACACTGCCAGTGAAGGAGATTTTGGCCACATCTGGGTGATGACAGAGGAACTGGCCTGTGGCTGCCCCACCTTGCACCACGTTGAAGAGCCCCTTGGGCACCCCGGCCTCTGTGAAGATCTCTGCCAACCTCACTACAGAAACTGGGGTGAAGGGAGAAGGCTTGAAGACCATTGCATTGCCTAAGGGAACCAAGAAAGAGGCAAAATGGAATTAACACCCCAACTGCTTTGAGTAAAAAACAACAAATCCCCACCACACACAATGAGTTTGTCTGAACAGATGCCAGAAGTCTCCCCCAAAAGACAAGGAAATACTTTCAGCTGATCACTGCCAACTAGTAAAAGGGTGCACTTCCTGGTGGGAGGGCTGGGGGAGATGGGGCTGCTGGTCCTGCCCTACAGACATTTCCAGAGACCTTCCTCTTCAGGTACAAAGCCAAGCTATCAGCATTTTCGTGATTCATTCCCACCCTCTTGACATCTGAGATGTTCCTGCTTTAATTTCCTTTCCCTTTCTGCCAGAGCAACAGTCTGAAGGTTCTACTAATCCTTCAACACTTCAAGGTAATCCTAGACTTTATCCCCAAATCCTAGACTCTCCTCCTCCCCACACAGGATGAGTTGGTCTGAAAAGACGCTGGTGTGGGCAGGTCTCCATTACCGCAAGCCAAGGCCGGGCCAGCCTTCCAGCAGGCAATCTGGAAAGGGTAATTCCAGGCTCCAATCCCAACACACACCCCGAGCGGTTCTCTCCGAGTGAACCCAAAGCATCCCCCAGGAAGTTGGATGTGTTCACCTGCAAAGAAACAGCCAGAAGGTAGAAAAGAGCAAAGCCTCTTCCTCTCTTACCAGAGCTTTAGGGGTCAGATCTGGATTTGCCTGGGAACAGACAGACAGTTTTACCCCAGCAAGCTCACACACAGAAGGTGTGTGAGTGCCCACAGAGCACAGCAGAATCAGGCAGAGATCTCTCAAAGATATTGAGAAAATGGAATGGTCCATCTCATAGAGAAATCAGCAGCAAAGATGGCCTGGTGCCATCAGAGATATCAGGGAATGTGGGACAGAGAACAAAGAGCAAACTCCAGCAATATCCTCACCAGCCAGAGATCCTGCCAGCCCTGCATAATACTCCAGGCACTGCCAGGATACGTCGATGTCTACTCTGGCTTCAAAGATGGATTTGCCATTGTTGATGGTTTCCATGGTGGCAATTTCTTCTCTCTGCTCCTGTGAGAGGCATAGGACAGAGACAGCACATTAGAGAAGCCCATAGCAGAACTCCACAAGGAGGCAGCTGCTTCCCAAGCATGAGTCCCAAATGAGCGTCTGACATGGGAAACTGCCACTTCCAAAAGGGACATTCCCAATTGCTACACATCAATATCCCAGTGGTGACCGAAGGCAGGGGAATGTTGAAGAGAAAGCTGGTGGGGTTCACTGCTAGTTCAGTCTTGCTTAACATCCCTGTTTGCCTAAGACATGAACAAACATGAACTTAGAAGCTGCCGGGCAAACAATGATGAGACTTCGCAGAACTAAACTGGGAAGAAGAGCAAACAGCAAGAGCAGGATGGAACCAGAGAATTTAGTGAAGGACAGACAAAGCAACACAGCTAGGGACAGGCCAGCTACCAGGCAGAAATATTATCCTGCTGTCTGGCAGCAGCAGGAATTTGGCAGAAAGAAAACAGTTTTCTCATGACATATACACACTGGGGAAAGAAGGTCTGGGTTCTCACAGACCAGTGCCTTGATGAAGATTAACTTTGATGCTCCAGAACCTTATCTCACATAGAAGTTTGTGATAAAGTTCACTTATGTGTATCCTCTCCCATGTGTATTATCTGATAAAAAACAGTATTCCTGCTTTCTCTTACTGCCAAGACAGCCTCCAACCAGCAAAAAGCTCAGCAATGCAAGTTATCAAATTTTAGCTTTGAAATCCTGGGCAGTTAATCTTTGGAGCCGTTAAAAGAAGTGCACGCCCTGCAAGATGTGGACTGGATGGCTTCAGCTTTATATGTCTTCTAACAGAATTAAGCTGAGAAGGCACACACTGGCCTTGAATCCAGTGATAAGACCAAAGCTGCACAAAGAGGCGCTGAATTCAGTGATAAGAGCAAAGCCCTGCCCAAGGCAGCCTCCTGTCTCTTCCGGCCAAACGTGGGTTTTAACTCCTGAGCTTCTCCTGGAGCTCTGCAAGTCCTGCTGGAATGCCTCAACAGCCACAATAACCCACAAGGAAGCTCACAGACAGAACCACCCCTCCCCAAAAGCTGGCTCCTAAGACATACCCGGATAATTCTGGCAGCCTCCAGCATCACCCTGCATCGCTCCATGCCAGACATCTGACTCCATATTTTAAAGGCAGCTTTTGCACTCTGCACAGCCAGATCAACTTCCTTCTCCCCAGAGCAGGGCAGCTTGCACAGCACACGACCTGGGTACATTTTAAACGGGGAATAAATAAGATGGAAGTCTCAGAAAAGGGGCTCAGAATGTGGTCTACCTTGCACCAGAAACCAAATAGTTCAGTCCAGCCACCCATACCAGGTACAGAACTTCCCCCGTGATTCCCACTGATTTGTAATTTGCCATAGAAGAAGTGCTGTAATTCAGTTGTTCTGAATTAAAAGAGTTGCCACCCTTTCACAGCCACGTTCTAGTTACTAATTAGCTCCAGTTGTTACAAAATTCCTCTGTTTCCCAGTGGAGTTTGTTACACTTCTACTACCATCTTCAGGGCTCCGTTACACATTCCTCAGCGCCGTTAGACACTCTTGAAGTGATTTCTGCTGAACCCTAGGCACTGATAACTAAAAATAAATAACTTCAGAGAGATATTTTAATCGTGGGGTTTTGCCAAGATCAAGCACCGCTGGATTTTTTGCCTGACTGACAACGAGAGCTGACTTCTGCTGTTAAAAGACTGACGATGGGGAAACGCTGGAGGCAGAATAGCCACTAAAGCACGGTGGCACAGGGGCAGCAGGGCGTGCAGGACCCCCGCACAGGTGGCACCCAGGCGAGCTGGGGGAAGCAGAGCGCAGCCAGGCCGCGCAGAGAGGTACCGCGGAGGCTTCTCCCGTGCACCGACCCCTCTAGCTCAGGGTTACCCCCACCCCAACAGGCTGCGGGCGGTACCTGTGGCCGGCTCATACACCTCCTCCACCTGGCCGCCGTCGGCGGGCTGGACGCGGGCGCCCGCCCGGTAGTTGAGGGGCTGCTGGATGGTGACGGTGCCGGTCGCGCTGCTCATGGCGAGGCTGGGAGCGAGTGCGCAGAGCCGGGGAAGGAGGGTGGGCAGCCGGATTTGTGCCAACATCGGTGGGATCCCAAGAGGCGCCGCGGCGAGAAGCGCCGCCTCCTCCACCGACGCTTTTGTCCCGACAGGGCCGCGCGTCCCGCCCCATCCAGGGGCGTGCCCGCCGGGATGGAGCCGAACCCGCGGCCCCGGGCGGCGCTCCATCACCCAATTAAGACACATTAATTAATTAACATGCCCATGCCGTTTATTTCTCAGAAACAAAAGGTCGAGTTATCTTCTCAGAGGTGTTTCCTGGTTTGATGAGCGATGAACTGCTGGTGGAATACTCCAAATGGATGATGATTTCAATACTGTATAGCCTGGTTTTGGATGGGTGATGCCTGGTGCAGAATCCCATCTTGTTACCTCCCAAAGGGAGTCTTGTGCACTGGCCAGGCCTTCCATGAAGGCTATGCTTTAGGAGAACTTCCCTGCCTGAGGTGGGGGGCCAAGGAAGCCTCCTGCCTGCTTGGTGGCAGCCCGGGAAGGAGCAAGACCGAGCATCTTCTGGATATTCTGCAGAAACAAGAACAAAGAGCAGGATAGTGTCAGACCATGATAAGGGAGATAGAGAGGAAGAAATCCCAACTTTGCTTACAGAGTCACAGAATTGTTAGGTTGGAAGGGACCTCTGACGATCATCCAGTCCAACCCTGCCAAGCCAAGACAGGGTCACCTGGAGCAGGTGACATAGGGATGCATCCAGGTGGGTTTGGAATGTCTCTAGAGAGGGAGATTGGGCAGCTCGCTCCAGTGCTCTGCTGCCCTCAACATAAAGAAGTTCTTCCTCCACCTGTTGAGGTAAAATTTCTTGAGTTTTAGGTTACATCCACTGCTCCTCATCCTGTCACTGGGCACCAGTGAACAGAGTTCTGGCACCATCCTCCTGGCACCCACCTTGGAGATATTTATGTGCATTAATGAGATCCCCTCTCAGTCTTCTCCAGACTAAACAGGCCCACCTCACAGTGTCTGTCCTTGTTAGAGAGATGTGCCAGACCCCAAATAATCTCTGTGGCCTCTGCTGGACCCTCTCTAGTGGTACAAGTAAAGCCTCCTTCCTCGTTTCAACAGATTCAGGTTCTCACCCACACAGCCTTATCCATCTGTCTACTATATACTGGACCTCTATCCCTATATGTTCAAACTAGCTTAGCACAGAGCCAGACAACCATCCCCAACAACTACATTTAGAGCTGTACCACTCCTTCCCAAATCCACATTTTGGCTGAGGGTTCTTTTCTACCTCCAGCTACACACCCCATAGTCAGCTGGCAGGTGCCTTGTCAATGTCTTTGTGCATGTGTTGGTTTAAAATCAACCTACAACATCTTTGCAATTTAAATGCAGTGCACACTCAGGAGCGTGTTCCCAACAGCTGCTCACGAGCAGAACCATGCAGCCCTTGGTCTTCCCAAATTCCAGAAAGCACTGTTATGGCAGCCCTCAGAGCCAGAGGGTCTGCAGGCTGGCGAGGAAGGCCCTCTCCTAATGCAGCAGGAATTTGGGTCAGCAGCATGGCAACCACAGTGTGTGCCAAGTCCAAGTCAGGAGCTTAGGCACAGAATTAGCATGAATGCTAGGGCTGCAGACAGAACAATGGGGCGGTGGAGACATGCAGGATAACAGGACCCATGTAGCAAACCCCAAAACCTGACTATTGAGATGACCTCATCTGCATCCCAGCAGGGTGTTTCAGTGGAAAACAACAAACAGGGAAAGAATTAATTAGCAGAGCCAGGCATAATCTTTAAAAAAAAAAAATCATACCAGAATACTTAAATTTTATGTTTTTCCTGATTTTTGTGAAATTTCTTTTAAATTTTGCAACAGTGGAACTACAAAGAGCCACCAGTTCTTTGGGTTTCATGCTTCACTGTAAGGAACTCCAGCTCAAGATGCTGTTCCTGCAGTGCTAGCACAACAGGGACATCTTATGCAAGGGAGAGAAGAAAACAACTGTGTCCTCCTCATGTCACCAGCTGAGTCCTGGCTATTGAGACAACAAAAGGAGGAAGGAGGATTCTCTTCAAACCTGAGTGTCCTCTCCAAAATAACTGTCAGGATAGGTCAGACAGGAAGGAGAATATACAAACAACAAAAAGAGAGAAAAAAAAGAAAATAAAAGGCAGATAGTTTTGTAATGCCATAGTAGCTACATTAAAATAAAACAATCAGGAATCATTACAGGTGGAGACTATGAAAAGGAAGGTTTCAGCCCACACAGTAAAGGAGAGGAACACTTAAAGAGCAATTATATGAGGTCCAAAAGTCCATAAACCAGCCACTGGCTGATGTTTAGCAACGGAATGTATACGAGAGCATTAACTCCTTTGTGAGGTTCCTCTTCTCGGCACTTCCTTAGTCAAGCAGTGGACAGAAAGGAGAAAATAGGAGCAGCCGAGGGACACATCCAGTAACACCAGAGGGTGCTGTAGAGCCAGCAGCGGGCAGGACCATTATCCTGTGAGCTTTCTACCGTCTCACTGGTGGAGCAGAGATCCTAGCAGAGCATCCTTGGAACCAAGGAAATGTGCACTGCCTCCAAACCTGTTCCTTTCACCATGGAAGGAGAGGAGAACAATGGTGCTAAAGTTTACTCCAACTGCTTGAACAGTTCTAAGAGGAAGGGAGATGACAGACTGTATGTGAATTCCAGACCACAGTCAGTCTCCAGCACTATCTTTACATGTAGTCCCCTCCATGCTGTGGAAGGCAGATAGGATCAGGCACTAGCTCCAAAGAAAGGTTTTCTGGACAGCAATCCTGAAGTCTACACAGCTGGAAACACCAGGGATGGGGCAAGGTTCAGCAGAAACCTTGTCCTGTCTGCTGCAGGCCACCTTGCACAAGGAAGTCTGCAGAGTCTACTTCCAACACAAACACAACCATTACCTTCAGAAGCAGGGAGGGAAGACTAAAAATCCGAATTTCTCATCTGAGCTCTTTTGATCTTTCCTCAAACGACTGTAGGAAGGACAGGAGCTGCTTCTGCTTTTGTCTTCAAACCCAGAAGGGGCCTCAAGGCAGCAAGTGGCTCTCTGCCCTAAAGACCAGGCTCTGTGGGAAAGTGCACTCCTGGCAGTAGGGATAATTGCTGGCTCCCCTTCCCCCTGGGAACACATTTCAGTGAGAAGCAGCCTAATCTACAGTTCAGATGCGTGTGAAAAGGAAGTGAAGACCAGCAAATGCCCGAGGAACAGCAGCATATCCCTCTTCCCAAACAGCACAGGTGAAGGCTGGGAGCTTAGAACCATGAGTGAGGAAAGAGGATGTAACCCTGACATTACACCTCCCACCCAGCCCAGCAGACTTTCCCAGCTGAAATCCAACAACTCAAGGACCCTTGGAAGGCCTCTCCCAGCAACCCTCCTCTCTCCAAACAGGAAAGCAGGAGGAACTAGGAGACAGGATTTACGTGCCAGGGAGAGCTGGGAACAGCGCAAAGGAAGTTACTCACTGCGAGGTGACTATTTTGGGAGATGCTGGCCAGGTCACAGGCAGCAAGCTTCCCAGTCAGTGTTTGAAGAGTTTATCACCCCCACATGCCTGAGGGCCCCACGAATAGAGTGCCTGATGCTGCTCCTGCCTGTCCAACTAATGTCAGTTTAACCACCGTCCAGTTAAGTCTCCCACCCTCACATACTCCCCTGCATTTCCCATCAGGTCACTGTTTTTTCACACACACGAGTTCCTCCACCTCTGAGCTCCACAGGAACATATCTCTTCCCTGCCTTTGATCCCTTCACAGGCAGCTCCAGGGAAGGCTGAAGGATGAATGATCTCCTTTGTTTGTGACCTGTTCCCTGACTTTTGGTCCATCTTCACTCCTCCTCTTGTGTGAGCAGCATCAAGCCAGACAGGATCTCCCAAACCAGTTCCCCTCCCTTGGGCTAGCAGCTGTTTTGAAGCCAGCATGGCAAGATTTCCCCTTCTGAACACAGTGAAATACAAAGGATCACAAAACTTTCACCTCCAAGGTCATTGAAAAGCACTAAGTGCAAGTCTTTGGCACCATTTTAAATCCTTAATTACTTCCATGCCCTCTCCCCAGGCCTCTCACAGAGCTCTAAAGTTCCCAAAGTTGTTATCACCTAGGTTCTTTCAAACAGCAATAAAGCCAGGAGCAGGATGCCAGGAGCAATCACAGCTTTGGTTCCTACTTGTTGAGCAAACTGGAGTGTCCCTGCCCTTCCCTCCAGGTACCAAGGAGGAAGAAACTGCCTGACAGCTGGAGAACTGCAGGAATCCAGGTTAAGCCATGTTAACCACGATCACATAGATAAGGCAGCACTATGAAGACTGCAGTTTTACACCCTTCTCCAAAGCAATAAACGAACTCCCCTCCTCCACAAGGCCTCCAGCATGAACTCTCAAGCACAAGGGCAATTTTTTTCCCAGAATTTCTCTTGAAAGCCCAAACCACTGCAAAGAGCTCGGCATTTCTGAGTTCCTGCCATCCACCAGTTTCACCATATGAAACAGCAGGAAATGCCCAGGACTAGAACTAACCCCAGGAATTATATTTTTGGACAAAAATGGGGGATTTTTCAGCAAAGGAGTTCCCCAGTCAACCAGACGGGTGAAGAAAAATCTTGCCGGCAGTGCTATCTAGTTTCACGTAACTTGCAACATTGCAAACAGAGGACTTCCCATGTAACAGGTGAGTAGCACAGAGCAGCACCAGACAAGATTGCTTGAAGGAACAGCATCAGACCACAGCATACCAGGAATTCTGGAAGGTGATCTTAAGAGCTAAAAATGTCTAATTCTTTCAACGCAGCAAACACTGCGCCAGTTCCCGAGTCACTGGGAAGTGAGTTTGTCTTCCAGCAAACAGTCAGGAAACCCCTGGCCTTTGGTACTCTGAAGCTGCGCCTGCCTGAAGTGAGGGGTTGGCCAGGTGAACTCCAAGTGATCATTTCAACATAAGTTATTCTACAGTTCATTACCAGCTTTTGCATAGGACCAGACACAGATTCATTTCAACACAAGCACCCAATACAAAAGGCTAGGGAGAATTCCATTTACCAGCGTGCACTTTGTGACTA